GGAACCTTGGCCAATAGACCATCACACCTAGTAAAGAAACGAACTTTGTTTTTCTGATATAGAAGTATTTTATGTAGATATGATAATATATTTGATATAATTCTCTCCTGCTTAATATAAACCTCCTCATGTTTGTAAGAATTTCTGGCAAGCCAGATAAACCATAAGGTAATAAATGGAATTATATTAAAAATATGTATTTTGTAATGAATGTGCTACCAAACCTCCCTGCAAATTCACCCAGCCAGAAGGAGAGGTGTTAATATTAACCAGCTCACCCAAGGTTTTCAAAACTTTGATGACTGAGAATGCACATGTAAAGAAGACATAATTTTAGGACTCCTCATTGGATTTACAGAAAAGACATTGAGAAGACAATCTCAAGCTTTTTAATTTCAAAATATCATCTATTGGAATTAAACCCTAAATGACTCTCCAAATAAAGAAAGACATGGAAGTTGAAAGATATTTATTCCAAATCACTTTGTCCCATTCTACCTCATTCCATTGAAATTGCATTTCATATATAATTTTTTTTATAGAGCAGTTTGAATTGGTAATAAGGAGTGCCTTATCCTTCCGGTTTCTATCAAATTGAATTTTAGAAATGTATGTAGCTTTATTTACATCCAGCATATTAATAAGCATTTCCATATTCCAACCATTATCAAGTAAACAATCAGCCACAACTAGATCTTTATTTTCATGAGTTTTAAATTGATCTAAATCATCATTATGCTAGTTATCATACCCAAAGAATAGTTTCCCCTAACCAACTTCCCAATGTATAAATTCCCCAGCAATGTTACTAATTTTCAACATGCCTTTCCATATTTTAAAGTCCTCAGTCTTGGGTTGAACTTCCAATGGATGTTTTTGTTTACAATATTTAGGATAAATATAATTAGACCATAGAGATTCATTCTTTCTGATTTTAATCCACATGAGAATTGAATTGACCTCTACCAGATGTTTTAATAGCCTGAATCCAAGCCCCCCAACAGAAAGAGCCTTGCACAATTTACTTTAGCTGGCCTAAATTTTCTGTTTATGGTTCCCCGATCATAAGAATTTGTTAAACATCATTTCAGGTAAAATTGTGTTTAATGCACTTTTCAATAAAGTAATATTCCCTCTATAGGATAAGTAAGAGTTTGTCCAATCATGAATCCTAGCTTTGATTTTATCAACAACAGCTTCAAATTGCACCTGCTTTCTACCTTTTAGCAGGTTAGCACCCAAATATTTTAAAGGTAAATCTGCAATGCCAAAACCAGTGTAATCATGTGCCCATCTCCAAGTTGAATTGTTCACAGATTTCTTAAAATACATTTACATTTAGCTTTATTGAAGTTCATTCCTGACATGACCTGAAAAGGCACTAATGTTTGGAAAATCAGTTTAACCGATTTTTGGAAGCATTTGTAAAAAGAATGACATCATCAGCATAGGCGAAATGACTCACAACCATTTTGGCCATATTTTTAAAATGAATTGAGGCATTGGAATTGTATGAAGTAGTGATTAATCTAGAAAAGTATTCAAAAACCAATATAAATATGGTAGGGGAAAGGTGGTCCCCCTGGTTAATTCCTCTGCCTGATGTAAATAAATCATGAGCTTTCCCATAAAGCAGTATTTGATAATAATTTTCCTCAAGGCAACTTTTAATAAATTTGTAAAAGGAGGATTTGAACCCCCCATCATGAACGACAACAAGTTTGAATTCCCAACTGATTGCATCATAGGCTTTCCTCAAATTAAGCTTAAGCACAGCATTACCACCTCTACATTTAGTATCAAGTTCAGAGATTAATTCTTGAGCCAACATGATGTTTTCAGTTTTTCCTCTACCGTGAATGAAAGCCATTTGACTTGGGCAGATTAAACTTGGTAGGTGTTTTTTAACTTCTCCACCATGCTTTTGCTAATGAGCTTAGACATAACAGAGGAAAGGCTAATAGGCCTGAAATGATCCCATTTAGATTTCTCATTGTTTTTAGGGATAAAGACAATTGTAGAGGTGGCAAAATATTTACACATTGGTGTACCCTTGTAGAAACTTTGACAGCCTTAACCACATCATTTTTGATAATATCCCAGTTGGATTTATAAAATTCAGCAGTATTTCCATCCGGCTCCGCTGCTTTATTGATATTAATGTCCCGAACAGCTTCCCAAATTTCATCCACTGTGGGAATTCCAACAAGTTGTAGTGTTTCAGTGAAGTGATTAGCGTCCCAGGCTATATTATCATCCAATGTTGTATTATATGAGACTTCAGTAAAAATTGACTCAAGTACTTTATGCTATCTTGTAATATCATTCTGATCCTCAAGCCAATTACCACTAAGATCCAGTATTTTAAGTATAGTATTAATACGCCATCTATTTTTAATACATGCATGATAATAACTTATGTTCCTATCACTCTCCACAAAATGTACTTTTCCAACCTTTTGTTTAAGATAGTTCTCCTCGGAGTTAATGGCCTTGTTTAAATTTTTGTAGGCCTCATTCAACTCCAATGTATAGTGTTCATTGCAAATATCTACTTGATCCAACCTTAGACCTCCTTTTCAGCTTCTTTATTTTTTTGTTTATAATCTCCAAAGTATTGCCAGTTCCACTTCTTCAAAACCCGAACCAAATTTTTATGCAGTTTCTACAGTTTCTCCCAAGGGTTGTCCTCCATATTCTCCAGCGAGTTATTCTTTACACATAGTCAAAATGCTTCATGGTTGGTCCACATGTAATGAAAGCGAAAGGATGTACCAATTGTTTGTTGGAAAAGTTTATACTCAGCAATAAAGGCATATGATCAGAACCCAATATAGAAAGGTGATATATTGTTGTATTTGGAAAATTATCTAGCCAATGTTGTTTTGCAAGACCTCTGTCTAACCTCTCAAAAACTCTGCCCCTTTTCTAAGTATGGCTAGGGCCTACAAAACCAATGTCGAAAAGCTTTGCATCCAAAATAACTTCATTGAATTTGCCTATCATTGACATATTAGGTCTACTTCCCCTTGTTTCTCTTTATGACTAGTGGTCATGTTAAAGTCGCCCCCAAATATCCAGTTCTCGTTTATATTAGAACCCAAGTTAATCAATTTGTTCCATAAATCCAATCTTAATTTATGACTACAGCTTGCATAATATCAAAGGAGAAGTGCAGAAATTTTGTATCATCTATGTTAATATTGATTGAAATTTATTTTCTATTGAACACCCAAGTCTTGTTGGCGATATTGGCTACAAAGTAAGACTTATTAAAATTCTTTACAATTTTATGTTTGTTGATATGTGCTAAAGGTTCCACTATAGCAAATAACCAAATCTTGTTAGTTCTGACCAAATTCTTTAATCTATAAAGAGAGGTAAGGCCAGACACCCTCCTTATTATTCCATATAAGTAAATTAATCACCATTCTGCTCCCCATCAGAATATGAAGAATAGTTGTTATGTATGATATTTCCTTGCCCCAAGTTTTTCAATTCCAACCTGCCTATTTTTTTTTTCTAGATTTATAAACAGTCCATTCATTCTCTAAAGGGATTCTAGCTGCCTCAAGATTTTCCTCATTAGAACTTGGGATTACCTTAGCCTCCAAAGAAACAGTAACCCCATCATCAGCCTCACCTGATTGAACACCAAGTGCTACACATACAAGAAATATAGACTATGTGTGTGTGTGTATACGTGCATATAAAGCGTGCTTTGTTATTTGGAGTTAGGATAATCGAACATTTAAAAAACATACTCACTAATCTCATTCTTTTATTTAATTAAATTTTTGTTATATTTACATTTTATAATGCTGTTATTATAAAAATTTCTGAACTGTAGCAAACTTTATAGAGGACTTGTTTGGGGGAGCTTTCTTTCAAAAAAAAGTTCCTTTAAAAATAATGTTAGAATAAACAACATAATATGGTGATGGTTACTAAAGCCATACTATTGTTTGAATACATATTTTTGTGTGCTTTTTAACATCCAAAAATTCATTATGAGACTAAAATTCCCTTAATATTTTTATTTTTAACTCACTGGTTTGTTTTTTTCTGCGGAGAGAGGAGGGCAAAATATAATTGATAATTTTGACATTTTCTTAAACAGCAGAATGGAGTAAACTCTGAGAAGCTGCGCCGAATTGCCATTCCGAACAGGAAAAAACGCCGATGCAGTGAAAAAAAATAATTTTTAAAAGTTAAACATTCAAGCAAGCATTTTCAATTTATGCGCTTTCCGTTGAACAGAACTGTGCTGAAACGACCTATCAATTGAAGCCTAAGTTTAATTGAAACTTCTTATTAGGTTTAATCAATTTTCGTTAACTGATTGAGCTCAAGTTTGAGTTGATTTTGGCCCAACAAGAAACTGCTTCACCCAACCTGCTAGTTAACTATTCAGGTCAATAGCTGATTCAAACTTGACTCGACTGACTCAACATATACTTCATTGACCTGCGCTTGACATGTTTGATCCATTTATTGTATAGTTCATATAATTTATTTTTCAATGCAGTTTAATTAACATAAATATTATCCTCTAAGGCGAAGGAGGGTTTACAACCTGTCAAAGAGAAAATGTATTGAAAACTAAATGAGTTATTTTTTATGTTTATTTTGGGTTTTCAAGTTAACTTGATTATCACCCTAATGTTAAAAATGTCAAGTTTTACACGAAACCGACTCTTTTAATATTGAACTAGTTATTCCTAGGTCAACTTAAACCTCATTCTTTCGGAGTGGAGTTTCATGTTGCATTGTCATGTTAGGTCTTTTTTTGATATCTCTCGGGTTGTTTATAGTTTTCAGAAGACTTAGGTTTACTTTCAGGAGCAATCACGAGTATTGAAGAGCTGGAAGTATCATCTAAGTTTATTAATTTATTTATTTTAGTCTGGTCAATGAGCCAACAGAAGGAATTTTCATCTATGCTATACCTAAAGTCAAATCTCAATATAGAAATATTTAACTTCGTCTTTTCTACGCAGCTTGCAGATTCTGCAAAATCTCAATTTTCTTGCCGGGATTATAGTGATCATCTTGCACTTATTCGGGCCTATGAGGGTTGGAAGGATGCTGAAAGGGATCATTCTGGATATGATTACTGCTGGAAGAATTTTCTTTCTGTACAGACTTTGAAGGCAATTGATTCTCTTAGAAAGCAGTTCCATTTTCTGCTTAAGGATGCTGGCCTTGTTGATGAGAACTTAATGTCATTCAACATTTGGTGTCGTGACGAGAATCTTGTCCGGGCAGTTATCTGTGCTGGCCTTTTTCCTGGAATTTGTTCAGTTGTGGTGAGTCTTTTTTTGAAATATTTACATACATACCACTCAATTCTTATGTATTTACATATCTAACGCCTAAGCTTCAATTTTACATACACCTTAACTATGCATAAAAAGTTGAATTTCACTTTTTTGGAATATTTACTTACTTACCGCTCAATTCATATGTATTTACATATCTAACACTTAAACTTCAACTTTTGCATGCATGCCACCTTAACTATGCATGAAAAGGTGAATTTTACTTTCTACAAGTTAAAATGGTGGTGTTTTTTATATGATATGAAAGATTTGGGTGTTATAAATGCAAAAAGCAAAGTTTAAGTGTTAGTTATGTAAATACATAGAAATTGGGTGACGTGTATGTAAATACCAGCCCCCCCCCCCCCCCCACCCC